TTAATTAAATGCCTTGGATTTGCTGGGGAAAGAAATAATACTTTTAAAAAGTACCGCCCTTAGTCACGGGGCCAAAGAAGAGGAAGGAGAAAAGAAGAATAATGAAAAAGAATGAAAAAGAAAAGAAGAAGAAAGAAATGAAAAAGGAATGAGAAGAAGTAGAAGAATGAAAAGAAAGAAAAGAAAAGGAATAAAAGAAGAAGAATCAAAAGAAAAAAAGAAAAGCCAGATGAAAGAATAAAAGAAGAATGAAAATAAAGAAAAGAATTTTTTTGAAAAGAAGATGATAAGAATTGAATTAGAAGAAAAAAATAAGGAAGAAGAAGAGAGAATGAAAGGCCTTCTAGAAGAAAGAAGGGAAGAATGAAAAAGTTCTGAATGAGGAATTAAGAATGAAAAGGGTAGTAGAATGAAATAAGAGAAAATGCTATTTTTTTCCGAAGGAAAACGAAAAAAGAATGAATCCTGAAGATGGAGGAAGCAGGAATGAATAGAGATGAGTGAAAAGAAGGAATAAATGAGTGAAAGAAGAAATTTTTTGAGAATAGGAGAAGTCAGATAGAGGATTGAAAAGGATATTAATGAAGAGGGAGTGTGCAGGTTTTTGGTTTTTTTGATCCGGGCTTAGAAGAATGAATAGTGTAGAGAAGGAAAATTAAGAAGAAAAGGAAAACCATCTGAAGAATGAAAAGAATGAAAAAGAAAAATGAAAATAAGAAAGAATGAAAAAAGAATGAAAATAAAGAAGAATCGAAAAGAATGAAAAGAATGAACAAGAAAATGAAAATAAGAAGAATGAAAAGAAGAATGAAAATAAGAAGAAGAATGAAAAGAAGAATGAAAAGAAGAATGAATAAGAATGAAAAGAAGAATGAAAAGAAGAAGAAGAATTGAAAAGAAGAATGAAAAGAAAGAATGAAAAAGAAAAGGAATGAAAAGAAGAAATGAAAAGAAGAAGAATGAAAAGAAGAAGAATGAAAAGAAGAATAATTCCAGTAAAGCAAAAAGTGTTTTCTGGCAGAGTTCCTCTATTTCTGACAGTTCTTTCACATTTACAGCGATTGAAACATTGTATCTATTTGTTTCCTAATAAAAACATCTGTATCCTAAATGGAAACAAATACATACAATGTTTTCAACCGCTGGAAATGTGAAAGAACTGTCAGACAGCTGTCAGAAATAGCGGAGCTCTCTGCAGGGACATTTTTGCCGGCTGTAGAAGGGATGAAAACGGCCGATCAGGAAAAATTCGATTCGACCATCCGAAGTCGCCAAAAATTCGGATTCGCTGCGAATCAAATTTTTCCTGAAATTCAAAAACGAATTCCACTTCGCCTGATTCGATTCGCTCATCTCTAATGACAATCTCCCAATCTGTACATTTTCAGGTGCCTCCGGATCTGGGATCTGGCAGGTAAGAGGAACTTCCAGATGAGCTTCTTGAGAGTGGCAACCACTATTCCCCCCCCCCCCAAAAAGATATTAGATATTACCAGAGACGTCTCTTCAGTGAACCTCCCCAGCAATATGTGTATAACAAATCCAACTATTCAAATATAAGACTTGCCTACAGAGTAACATGTCTGGAAATGTAAAATTCTGCAAGGACACCTCACCCCTCTCTAGTGCCAATGGGCATTATTAGGTAAAGAAGATATATCACTTTTTTTACAGTGTTCAGCTCCAGATGGGCAAAATAAATGTAATACTTTGTCCCATGTTCCTGGAAGCTCTGTGACACTGGCTGTGATGTCAGACATGATGCCCCCCGAGGAATGTAAAGGGAGGTGGACATGTTTGGGGAATATTGCTCTGTGAGGACTGTCATTGCTATCCGGGATCAGTACAATGAGCGGGATGAGAGCTCATGCAGGCTATCAATGATCTGTTACTTTACGTATCCTTCCTAGTCACTGATATCAGTGTCTGCTGCCAGGAACATGTGTAATGGATTCCTTTAGATACTGAAATAGACCGAGAGTAGCTGGAGCTTGGCCAGTCTTCCAGATGGAGGCCAAACACTAAACACACCTTTTACATGGGACCTTAGGATGTTCTTGGGTTAGCGGAATGATGAGAAATTTTCCATATCCCATCCTTGGGAGGGGCTTCCTCAGATACGACTCTTAGTTTGTCTCATAGGATGGACAACCCCCCGATCCTTCTATACAGAGGAAGACCTCCACATGTCTGAAATCCCACCTAACTTCACTGAGTGTTGGAAAGGAACACACCTTCCCTGGAATAGGGACTCAGATTATTTATTTAGTCCTTTTTATCCCAATGTGTTACTCCACCAACCAGCCAATTGTGATCCACTATGACTAAACTGCACATAATTGTAACATTCACTTCACTCTCTTCACTCTCTTACCTCCATCAGAAGACAGAACAGCTGAAAGTAAAATTAAAAAAAAAATTAGTTTACTTTTTAATGGCAAAACTATGTTACTTGTCTTATACATTAAAAACAGAATAAATATAGAATGTATGGGTTTGTAAAGTAACAAAAATGCCTGATTGCCCCACCTCAAATATTTAAAGTGTTACTAAACCCCGACCCTGCATTCACTATATATCCGCTCTCCCCGGACCCCGCATTCACTATATCCGCTCTCCCCGGACCCCGCATTCACTATATCCGCTCTCCCCGGACCCTGCATTCACTATATCCGCTCTCCCCAGACCCTGCATTCACTATATCCACTCTCCCCGGACCCTGCATTCACTATATCCTCTCTCCCCCGGACCCCGCATTCACTATATCCGCTCTCCCCGGAGCCCGCATTCACTATATCCGCTCTCCCCGGACCCTGCATTCACTATATCCGCTCTCCCCAGACCCTGCATTCACTATATCCGCTCTCCCCAGACCCTGCATTCACTATATCCGCTCTCCCCGGACCCCGCATTCACCATATCCGCTCTCCCCGACCCCGCATTCACTATATCCGCTCTCCCCGGACCCCGCATTCACTATATCCGCTCTCCCCGGACTCTGCATTCACTATATCCGCTCTCCCCGGACCCCGCATTCACTATATCGCTCTCCCCGACTCCGCATTCACTATATCCGCTCTCCCTAGACCCCGCATTCACTATATCCGCTCTCCCCCCGGACCCCGCATTCACACTATATCCGCTCTTCCCGGACCCTGCATTCACTATATCCGCTCTCCCCGACCCTGCATTCACTATATCCGCTCTCCCCGGACCCCGCATTCACTATATTCGCTCTCCTCAGACTCCGCATTCACTATATCCGCTCTCCCCGGACCTCGTATTCACTATATCCCTCTCCCCGGACCCCGCATTCACTATATCCGGTCTCCCCATACCCCGCATTCACTATATCCGCTCTCCCCAGGACCCCGCGTTCACTATATCCGCTCTCCCCGGACCCTGCATTCACTATATCCACTCTCCCAGGACCCCGCATTCACTATATCCGCTCTCCCCGGACCCCGCATTCACTACATCCGCTCTCCCCCAGGACCCCTGCATTCACTATATCCGCTCTCCCCCAGACCCCGCATTCACTATATCCGCTCTCGCCCGGACCCCGCATTCACTATATCCGCTCTCCCAGAACCCCGCATTCACTATATCCACTCTCCCCGGACCCCGCATTCACTATATCCCGCTCTCCCCAGACCCCGCATTCACTATATCCGCTCTCCCCGGACCCTGCATTCACTATATCCGCTCTCCCCGAACCCCGCATTCACTATATTCGCTCTCCCTAGACACTGCATTCACTATGTCCGCTCTCCCCATACCCCGCATTCACTATATCCGCTCTCCCCCGGACCCCGCATTCACTATATCCGCTCTCCCCGGACCCCGCATTCACTATATCTGCTCTCCCCGGACCCCGCAGTCACTATATCCGCTCTCCCCGGACCCCGCATTCACTATATCCGCTCTCCCCGATACCCCGCATTCACTATATCCGCTCTCCCCGGACCCCGCATTCACTATATCCGCTCTCCCCGGACCCTGCATTCACTATATCCGCTCTCCCCAGACCCTGCATTCACTATATCCACTCTCCCCGGACCCCGCATTCACTATATCCGCTCTCCCCAGACCCCGCATTCACTATATCCTCTCTCCCCGGACCCTGCATTCAATATATCCGCTCTCCCCGGACCCTGCATTCACTATATCTGCTCTCCCCAGACCCCTCATTCACTATATCTTGCTCTCCCTGGACCGTGGACAGCAGAAAGGGCTGAACTATGTACTTTTGCCCAAGAGAGAATCAAATCCCCTTCCTTTTCCACATCATTGGGAGAAAGGGCTTCTTTGTTCAAGCACTGGGTTGGAAATCCACCTCACCAGGGAGAGTCTGGACTTGGAGGTTAGATGTCTGGGGGCAGTCCAAGGACTGGGTCTGTTTGGTCCAAAACGGTGAGTTACAACAATCTGGGGTTAAAATGGACATGCAGAACTGCCTCAAAGGAAACAACCATTAGAGCTAAGATTATGATGCAGGTACAAAGGGAGACAGACGTTTCTCCATGGGCAGGGAAATCCTGGGCTGGACCATGTTTAACATCAGAACAAAGTACTCTAGTTTATGAGAAGGGTTCCAACAATGATTTTCTTGGGCTGAGGCTGTAACCTATTTACAGAGTCCGCATTGTCGGCTGGATGTTAGCTGACAGGGATAGGGAAGACTGATCCTTTGACAACAGATCATTTGAGTAACCCACAACATGAATCCCTTGAGCACAGAGAGGAGCTAAGACTGAGGCAAGCACTGTTGTGAAAACCAAGGACAGGCCAACGTGAAGGGTGACAAACTGGTAATGATATAAAGTGATATGCAATTAGATTGGGACTTTTCACAACTTGGCAATGCTGACCACCCACTGCAAAATGCAGATATTATTAATGGGGAGGACAGATGGGAATGTACAAATTGGCTTCCAGAATGTTTACTGAAGCCAGAAAGTCTCCTAGGAAAAGGGAGACATTTAATGGCCTGACCAGGGGCGGCTGGCAACTCATGGGGCCCCGGGCAATAGGGGATCATGGGGCCCCTGTGTCCTTGCCCCACACTCGAAAAAGCCTATAAAAAGGGTATCAGGGGCATTGTATCGGGCCCCTACTGACCCCGGGCCCTCAGGCAGTGGCCGAGTGCTTCAATGGCCAGTCCGCCCCTGGGCCTGACAGTTTCCATGCAGAAATTCTGAATGCATTGAAAGTCTTTAGTTCCAGAATGGGCTGAACTCCTCCATTTTGGTTTGGCAACTGTAAAGAGGTTTGAGTGGAATCCATGGAAATGTTCCACTTTAGTATAGGAGTGATGATCCCTGGAGACAGGAGCTGCTGCACAAAAGCAACGAGATCCACCTGCCCTTCCTGTAAAGTAATCACAGTGGCTATGGTGCAGCCAGGAATCTTGGTAGAAGAACCATCAGAGTGAGACAACCTCCATAGGAAGACTAAACTAGCACTAGCAAAAACCACAGGCTATCTGGGAGCGGGAGGTAGTGCATAGCGGGATGTCTCTGTAGCCTCCTGTTTTTGCCAGTGTCCTATCACCTGAAGGTAGCTGTATAATACCCAATCTAATGACGAAGGATCCCGTGTCCTGTACTGTATGACTAAATCCTCCTATTGCCAAGCATTGAAATACAAATGTTTTGTGAAGTAGAACTAGATATACGCAGATAAATGTAAAGGACACATCAGATATTACCAAAGATATTCTTTATTAAAAACAGGTCTTACCTTTCTGGTATATCGGTCCAATAGTTATATTTTTGCACGTCATCATTGCCAACTGAAGCCGATCTTATGGAAGGACAACTCTAAAACCAGAAAATAAGTCATCAAATTCTTACCCAGAAACAATAATAGACATGTTTGTCAGCATAATTATGCTCATGTTATTACATACATAGCAATGGGTTTACTGTTCTAAATGAAGTCAAACTTTTCTGTTTCTTTGCTTATGAACATAAATTGTGTTTTTCCAACTTTATATAAAAAAAAGGCGCCTTAGCTATATTTTACAGGTGATTACATGAAGTGTCCCCAGCCAGCAGCTTCCTAGCAATCAATGATGTTACAGTGGGTGGGGTCCGATGGGAAAGCTGAGGCCCTAGTTCCCCATCGGGTATGCTATTTCCTTGTAATGGACAGCAGCCTGGGGTGGATTCTACAGCCAATAGGAGACTAATAGAAGGATCCATCCACTGCCTGCTGTCAGTTACAAGGGGAAAAGGGATCTGATGGAGAACAAAGGTCGGTGAATCCCCGTTCTGCCACCCCAAGATACAAAGTTCCCCACTGCTACACACCTACATGGCATGTGAAGGCACATCCGAATTTTAGTGTTTTGTGGACACTCTTCATGATTTTTATTGTTTGTGTGTTCATGGAACCCTCAAAGGCTTTAGATTAATACTATCTTCAAAGTTTTTGTTAATGCATTATTTATAAAAAAATATTTATTGTACTAAAACATTTAATCACAAGTGTAATAAAAGCGCCTCACCCTTAATACATTAAAGCAGCAATTCCACCTCAAAGAAACCAAATAAATTTCTTAGTGCTATAACTTAAATAAAGAAATGCGCTAAAACCACAAACTATTCCTAATTTAGTGTAGAAACATTAGTGCAAAAGATATATATATCTATTCTCAATTAATATCAAAAAATATCAAAATTATGTGCATAAGTAATTTAAATAATTAAATTTGTGAATATAAAAAAAATGTCCAATTCTGAATTTCTTCAAAGGATTTGTTTGGACATTTGAAGAAATTCAGAATTGGACATTTTTTTATATTCACAAATTTAATTATTTAAATTACGTATGCACTAAAAAATAGTTTTGCACATAATTTTGATAATTTTTGATATTAATTGAGAATAGATATATATATCTTTTGCACTAATGTTTCTACACTAAATTAGGAATAGTTTATGGTTTTAAAACATTTAATAATGGGTATATACTCGAAACTGGATTTTTTAAAAAGGAAGGTTAACGGCCTTTCCCCACACACCTAGTGCATTATCCAAGGTTTATTGTAGGAATTAAATCATAAAAACATACTCACAGACGAAGCATGTATCTAAAAAGCATAGAAAAATGACAATGGCCACAACGGCAGGCAAGGTGTTCTCACTGTCAGTGCGGTCAAATGGCTGACGCGTTTCGGGGACGAATCCCTTTCCTCAGAGCTGATGACCAACCTGTATGGAGGTCAAGTAGTAAATAACCAGGGCTAGATGCCTTGGGAGCAAAGCTCCACCTCCTCTATTTGTTATAAGATGAGGGGTTGGAGGGGGTTATTTAAAGTGCAATATTTTGTAGTTTTTATAAACGCATATACATACATATATACACATGCATATACACATATACAAAGAGATATGCATGCACTAAGAAACAAAGCAAAATAAAAAAATTATTAAAAATACATGAATATAGCACCTGCAAATGTAAATAAATAGAAAACATTTTTTTAAAAATAAAATAAATAAAAATAATAATGTATATGAAAATAATCATAGTAGTAACACTGGCAATGATGATAAAAATAGTAATATTAGTAAACATCATAAAAATAAAAGTAGTAAGACTAGTGGATAATGGATGATTATCAGTTAAAAGTAATGTGTGGCTGTAGACCATATATATCTCTTCAAACGTGAAGCGGTGAGCAAACTGTCAGCACTGTGTAGTGATATTGGACTGTTGTTGGGTGACGAAAAAAAAAAAAAAAAAAAAAAAAAAAAAAAAAAAAAACATAATAAAATAAAAAAAATAAAAAAAAAATTTGGGAACATTAGAAAACATAAAATAAAGAGTGTGTGTATGGGTAAATGAATGACCTTTAGGAGGCAATGGTTAAGTGAATGGATGAGACATATGAATATGGTGTAGATACCTCTGATGCTGATGCACGATGAATGGAAAGTAAAGTGAGAGCCCTGCTGTTGATGCCTGAGTGGGATGGTGAGGGAGTGTGCTTTTATACCTGTGGGGAAATGGCTGCTGGAATGCAAACCACAAGACAGGAAGTAAACTCCGGATGACTCATGCCTGGTATCCCTGGAACAAAACATGAACAGGTGCAGTGATTGCAAGGCTCCTCCCAGGGGGGAGGGAAGAAGGGAACTGAGTCAGCTTAGCCATGTGGAGGATGGCTGGAGGGGGTGAATGTGGTGTTGTGGTGATATGTTCTATAATGGAAATTAACCTATGAGAGTGGCAGACTTCGGGGGCAAGGGAAAAAAAAAAAAAAAAAAAAAAGGGGGGGGGGGGGGAAAGGAAAGGGAACCAAGAGGGCAAATATGTTTGTAATGAATATTGAAAATGTAATGATCAACATGTCAGAACTGAGGGGAGGAGGAGGGAAGGGGGATACAGACATGTGGTGGGTATTGTATGATGTATGGCGTGTGGCAAAAATAGGGGGGGGGGGGGGGGGGGGGAAGAATGAGAGAACATGAAACTAATGAATAATAAGTCTGAGAGAAAAAAAAACAAAACAAAAAAAAAAAAAAAAAAAAAAAAAAAAAAAAAAAAAAAAAAAAAAAACACACACACCCTCTGATGCGGGTGTATATTAAAAATATGTGATAACTGATGCAATTGTGTTGGTTTAACTGATCGCAAGGAATCTGTATATATAAATAAATAAAACATCCAAATTCACACCGCACATGAGAAACTGAACATAATCATAAACTATGGTGGTGGAAAAATTATGATCATGAAGACTATTAATAAAACTAATGAGAACAATCGTGCAATAAAAACCATATGAACCCTAGTGGCTAGGGGCGGATGGATCACCCGAGGGTCAGGAGCCAGCAGGTGCCCCATGAGGTACCCCCGGAGCCTCCCCATGTGCCCTCCCGAGTGTGGGCAAGGCCACAAGTGCCCAAAGACCCCCCACTGGCAGGGGTCCCACGAGCCAACAGTCCGCCCCTACTTTTGGCCATGATAGCAGGAGAATGACATCTCTAGGAACTAAAAACGGTGGTATGCCTAATGTATTGACCACAAAGAAAGTGACTTATCTTAAAAATATATCCCATCACCCAGATGGGCATATATATTGAAG